AAACGACACTAGTCCACATGCTGGACTATATTGAGAGAGAGGGAGGGGGTGGGGGCAGTGTCTACTTCCCAACCTCTACTCTGTGCCTCCACAGGGAATTCCAAAAAGACTTAAGCATTTCTTTCCTCAAGATTTCCAGTGATAAAATGCAAACCATACAAGCTGGAAGCTTGGGGAGGGATTGCAAAGTCAGCTGTTGTGCTCACTAGCTTTACTAAGGGGCTTACATTTACACGCACCATCCAACAACTCAGGGGCTTGAAGCCCACATCTCCAGAGTTCTCTCCATGAGGACATTCCCCTGGCTGTTGGAGAGGGTCCCAAGAGGTCTCCGTCCACACCCTTCCTTATCACGTATCCCGTCTCCCTTCTACCCCTCACTGCAAATGTGAAGGAATAGCAGCTGTGGATAATAATGAATTCTGCTGTTTTGAAGTCCCTTTGGGATGTGTGGGAGGTAACGTCCAGCAGACACACAGGTATAAAACGTGGAGCTCAAAAGAGATGTCTGGACTTGGGAGTCGGCAGTGAACAGTAACAGAAATCAGTGGAATCAATTAAGTTAAGGAGGGAGAGTGTTTAGAAGCACAGGGAGAGTCGAAGGTAGAACCCTGGTAAGCATCAGTGCAGGGAGGAAAGATGAAAGGGCAGCAAGAAAGGCAGAGAGAGGAGGAGACATGGGCTTCACAGAGGCCAAGAGAGGAGCTCATTTCAATGAGGAGACAGCCAACTTTGTCTTACGCAGCTGGAGATGTGAGCACAAACAGCTCCGGGGTCAACAGTTAGGATGCAGCAGAGAGGATGCAAAGATGAGAGAGCAGACAATTCGTTGAAGATGAAAAGAGAAGTGACAATAGCTCCGGGGCATCCAGGTGGAAGGAGGGTTTGTATTCTTTGCATAGGCTGGAGGAAGGGTTGGTAGAAAAGGAGAATGGATGATACAGGATGGTGGAGCAGAGTTCCATGGATGCAGAGGTTGGAACAAGGGCTAAGCCATGGGCTGAAGGATTGCCTCTTCCTCTGAGGCAGGAAGAGAAGATGAAAGACCAGATGTAGACGTAGATGAGTTTAAAAACAAAAGTGCTTGGTAAGCTTTCAAAGTCATACGAATACAAGACTATTACCTATCATTTTATTTAGAACAGTTGCTTCCTTAAAAAGCCATCTCTACATTTAAAACATTTTGATGCTTTAATTTAGTAAAAACTAAGGTCAGGGACATTATTTAGACAAGAACCAAAACTTCCCCATCTCTGTAAACCGTTTCTCTAACAGAATGAAAGGAAATAATTAGTTTGTG